GGGAGGGGGTGGTGCCTGCAGGGAGCATTTTCCTTCAGAGAGCGGAGCCGCTTCCTCCCCTGCCAGGCAGAGCCCAAGGCTTGCTTTGATTGATCCCTGGAGCAGCTTGACACCCACGGCCGCCCTCCGCCCACGTGTCTGGAACACCAGCTCTGGCTCGGAGCGGCTGGAGGAATCCAGCCTCGCGGGCTAGATCAAGGGGGAGGGGGTGGTGCCTGCAGGGAGCATTTTCCTTCAGAGAGCGGAGCCGCTTCCTCCCCTGCCAGGCAGAGCCCAAGGCTTGCTTTGATTGATCCCTGGAGCAGCTTGACACCCACGGCCGCCCTCCGCCCACGTGTCTGGAACACCAGCTCTGGCTCGGAGCGGCTGGAGGAATCCAGCCTCGCGGGCTAGATCAAGGCAAACGGTGGGCCAGCTCCGTAGATTCCCCACCGCTGGACTAGAGGGATCCTTCATCTGACATCTAGGGGGCGCTGTGCTGCAGAGTGTGCGGGCGACTGGCAGGGGGCGCTCTAGTCTGCATTCATGACTGATCTGCACAGCTGCAAACTGCTGCCACCCCGTGAACTGTTTCCGTGGGGCGCCTGCCGGCTGGGCCATGAGTCCCGGGGGCTTCCGCTCTCTGACCTACTCAGGCGGTCTGCAGGGAGCAGGCGTGCCAGCTGGAGCGGGGAGGAGCGTGGGGACTCCCTGGTCTTATCTCCCTGACTGGCTGCCTGGCCCCGTCTGGCTGCAGCTTCCCTGTCTGACGTGAGGGGCGTGACTGTCCACGCAGGGCGTGGCCGGGTTATTTAGAGACCTCGGGGCAGAGGGCTCTGGAGAACCTTGGCTTCATGTGCCGGGGGACCGTGTGGCTCCTCGTTAGGGCCGCTAGTGCGTTCTAGTCCCCCCGCCCCCGTGGCTTGTTGGTGCTGACCTCTTCCTCGCTGACTTTTCGTTTTCAGGCCTCCCGCCCCCAGGGTCGTTTCCACGCAGGGCGTGGCCGGGTTATTTAGAGACCTCGGGGCAGAGGGCTCTGGAGAACCTTGGCTTCATGTGCCGGGGGACCGTGTGGCTCCTCGTTAGGGCCGCTAGTGCGTTCTAGTCCCCCCGCCCCCGTGGCTTGTTGGTGCTGACCTCTTCCTCGCTGACTTTTCGTTTTCAGGCCTCCCGCCCCCAGGGTCGTTTCCTCCCGGGGGCGGGGCCCCTCCTCACCCACATCCTTTCGCACCTGGCGGGATGCATCATCCAGGTAAGCATTGGAGAGTCATGTGGCCTAGTGCCCGGAGCACTGGCCTGGGATTTGGGCAAACGGGGAGGGCTATTCCTGGCTCTCCTGTTGGGTGATCTTGTAATGGCCCTACTCAGTGCCTCAGTTTCTCTCTCCGTAAAATGGGCTGATCTCTGCTGTGAGCTCTAATGCTATGTACCAGGTAAGTACTAAAGATGTTTATGCGCTCTCTGCGGTCTGTTCTTCTGAATGCCGCCCTGCCTTGTTCTAGAGTGGGGACCAGACAGATATCGAAACCCGGGGGAAGCGATTTAAACCAGCGTGATTTATCATAGATCGTTGTTTCTAAATCACTTGAAAGCGACAGAGTGAAATCAGTGACTTAAACCAAGCCGAGGCGTTATCAGTTTATGCAATTGCAACTTTACATTCAAACCTATGGCCTGAATTAGAAATGCTCTTTGTTATGCCATCACCAGCACTGGTAGAAGGGGGTTTACAAAATGACCCGCCCAGATGTTAAAAATGAAGGCTCTGGTTCTGCAAGCGTTTAAGCAGGCGCCTAACTTCCTCCCTGGAATAGTTCTGTTGACTCCATTGGGGCCGCTTTAAACCTACGCGCACGCTCAAGTGTTTGCAGGATTGGGGCTAACATGGAATTTTTAATTAAAAAAAAAACCAAAACACCAAACCTGGCGTAAAATCTTTGTCCCGTCAAAGGAAAACGGCTTCGGTGTTCAGACTGAAAAGCGACCCTGGCCCGTTCCGGCACAGCCGCTAGTGTATAGAGCAGGGATCCGGCCCACGGCTGCCTTGTCGGAACCCTTAGGTAGAAAGCAGCTCACGTTTTAAAAAGCCAGCTGCTCTCTGCTCTGGACGGCTGGGGAGAGTGGCAGGAGTCTTTGCATGCTTCCCTCTGACCCCCGCCAGCAAAATCTCTGAGCTCTCCTTAGCTAGTTTCCAGCCAATAGGACCGGAGAAATTTTGCAGGGGGCAAAGGCAGCGTGGAAAGCCTCCCTCCTCTCCATGACAGAGCCCGGAGCGGAGCCAAAGGTCCATCTAGCCCTGTCTTCCAGCAGTGGCCAGTGCCACATACCCCCAGAGGGAGTGAACAGATCAGGGAATTGAGTGATCCGTCCCCGGTCACCCATTCCCAGCTTGTGGTAGAGGCTCGGGACACCGCCCTTGCCCACCCTGGCTAATAGCCATGGATAGACCTAGCCTCCATGAATAACCCTGTTCTTTTTTGAACCCTGTGAAAGTCCTGGCCTTCGCACCATCCTCTGGCGAGGAGTTCCACAGGTTGACTATGCGTTGCATGGAGAAAATCTTCCTTTGGTTTGGTTTAAACTTGCTTCCTCTTCATTTTATTGGGTGAGCCCTAGTTCTGTGGTCCAAGCCCTGGCTGCCCCCAGGTCACTGAGATCCTGCTCGTGTGTCACAACTTGGCTTCTAATCTGTTGCTGTGAAAGTGGGAGCGGGTCTAAAAAACGTCTTGTGCTTTTCCCTAGGGATGTCACCCATGCAGGTGCATCACGGACCGCCCGGGATGGGCCAGCATCATCACCCGGGGCCACCAGGGGCAGGAGGCCCGCCCCCGC